GCTTGGGCTCGTCTGAGTGCATCCTCTTGGCCGTCATGGCTTATGACCGCTATGCTGCTGTCTGCCGGCCACTGCACTACACAGTCATGATGCACCCGAGGCTCTGTGCGTCTCTGGCCAGTGTAGCGTGGCTCAGCGGCCTCGTTACCTCCCTGGTTCAGTGCTCCCTCACTGTGCAGCTGCCTCTCTGTGGTCATCGCAAACTGGATCACATTGTCTGTGAGGTGCCAGTGCTCATCAAACTGGCCTGTGTGGATACGACTTTCAACGAGGCAGAACTCTTTGTGGCCAGTGTAGTCTTTCTAGTAGTCCCGGTGTTACTCATCTTAGTCTCCTATGGCTTTATCACCCAAGCTGTGTTAAGGATACAATCAGCTGCGGGGCGCCAAAAGGCCTTTGGGACCTGTTCCTCTCACCTGGTTGTGGTCGTCATTTTCTATGGGACCATCATATTCATGTACCTTCAACCGGCCAATAGTAGATCCAAAAACCAGGGAAAGTTTGTTTCTCTTTTCTATACCGTAGTCACCCCCCTTTTAAACCCCATTATCTACACTCTGAGAAACAAAGATGTGAAAGGGGCCTTGAGGACCCTGATACTGGGAAATGCTGTTGGACAAACCACGGGAACTAGTGAAACACCTGGAATTATAAAGAAGCGAAACAAGCCAAGGCCGAGTGAGGGTTCATTCTCCCCAGACATTCCTCTTGTCAATCCCAAGACCCTAGGTTCAATCTAGAAAAAAAAAGTTTGTCCTTTACTCCACCTGCCATCAAGGTTCATGTATCCATTATCTCTATCTAATGTGCCAGCCCATCTGATAAACTTCTAGTGCTTCAAAGCTCAGCTGAAATGTCTGCATTCCCTAGCTGTCCTGAAACACCATCCTTCTCATCCTTCTGCAGAATTGTGTTTCATATGTTTCCATAGCACTTGACACACACTGCCATTTCTACAGTTATACAGTTTATATAGTTTGTGTGCATCTACATATGTGTGTGTGTGTATATATATATATATATGACTAGGCAAAGCAATGTATATAACAGACTGAAAAAATATATGACCATTTTCCCAGAATATGTAACTTTTAACCAGAGAATGGACCATCCCACTCTATTGGCTTATTTACAACATGAGAAACACAATTATTATTCAGAGTTGTGATGCTTTGGTTCCACAGAATTGTGGGATGCAAATAATGATTAATATTTTATTAAAAGAATCAAATAAGCAAACTTGCATTAAGGAGACTGATTCACATATTGTTTAAGTTAGTTCCCTTTTAACTGAAGTGTTTAAAAGTTGAGTAAAAGTGCCATACACTAAAACGTAAGTGTTTTAACATGTTTATAGAAAATTCATATAATAAGTTATTGTTTCTGGCCTTAAACTCTGGAAAACAGTTACTCACATAATTTTATACTTTAAAATTTGAAATATGAATCCCACACACAGTCTCATGTTAATGATCATAGTTATGTTTGGTTTCCAAAACAGCAAAAAAATGAAATATGTAGAAGCATTTTAATAAGAACTGTATTCTTATATTTAACCAAACTTTTACTTTAATTCTGTCTCTCTGTGTATCTTTGTCTGTCTCGGCCTCTTTCTCACTTTCTTTTCCCAAAACGATTGAACTTCATCAATTTGTCAACTTCAAGTATTTTAAGAGAACTGTGCAATTACAGAAAAAAATGGTTTAATATGTGGTTGTAATTTTACTTCATATTCTCATTATGATACACATGAGGGGAAAAAAGCAGCATGAAAACATCACTGCAAATGAAGATTAAAATGCAGGGAGAATCTGGGGTGAAAGTGGAATTTTCTAGTGACTTAGACTTTTATCTGGACAGGCTCTTGCTCTGTTGCCCAGGTTGGAGTGCAGTGGCTCAATCATGGCTCACTGCAGCCTCGACCGCCTGGGCTAAAGTGATTCCTCTGCCTCAGCCTTCCAAAATTCAGATTTATAACAGAAAATAAAACTAGTGCTCATGTATAATTCATCTTTGTATGACAATTGTAGCCCGTGTACAGATGTGTTAATGATAACGTTTGGACCTGCCTCTCCTAGCAAAGCCTGGACTGAAGGTGAAATGGCTGCACACACAGAACAAAAAGGCATCAGGAGAATTCACTAATGACTCAGGCTGCCTCTTCACAAATACCCTGTCCAACTGGCGCCTCTTCAATATACTTTTACCAAACAAAATGATGAATAGCCAACTTGACAAAAACAAGAGGGAAATAGGTCTGGGTAAATTTGTCTTCCAGGATATTCTCCTGTGATTTTCCTCCTTCAGTAACAGAAGGAAGAGTTGGGAACTGAGCAGAACATGCTGAGGAGTGCATGCTTTTATTTACAATATGCAAGTAGAGAAGACGTTCTACAGGCAGCCTCACACTTACAAATGCTTTATTCCTGATAACCTGAGAAATATGGCTTCAGGAAGAATGTACCTGTGTCACAGTCTCAATCAATTTACATGGAATATGGCCCTGGGGCAAAAGATGTGGCATTTAAAGGAAAGCAATAGCTCCAAATGAAAAGACAACAAGGTGTAAAGCAATGATATGAAGACAATATGTAGAAAAAAACTACATATGTATTGTGAAGCAACCATTTTCAAAGACAAACAACCATTTAAGGTAATATGGGATACAAATCCCACTGAAAATAAAATCAAATTATTACTGTACACAATAAATTCAAACATAATTCAGAATAAAAATATAGAATAATATAGCTAAAGATGCTAATTCCAGCAATATGTAGATAATAGTTATTTGCACCAAAAAGAAAACCAGAACACAGATATGATTAACATATGCAAAGCAACCTAAAAAATCTACTTAACTGCAGATAAAAATGGGAACACATTTGAAAATCCTGTTACTACTTTCTTGAATTTACAGCTTTCCTATGATATGGATATGTTTATACTGCTTTTGTCATAATTATATAATTTCATACTATTTTTATAATATGAACATTCCTCTTCTGATTTAATAATCTACAAAATGTCCACCATTTATTAAAAATCTTCCCTACAATTGAATAACGAGTATTTTCTTTTTTAAATAAATACCTGTATTGAGCATACTTTTGTTTGTGAATATAATTATGTATCTATAAAGTTTTATAAATACAATTACTAAATCTAAAACAGGAACACATCAGTCATTTGCACACATTACTGGCTTGATCTGCAGAACATGTTTTCAATGGATGCCCCAAGAAAAAAACTGTCTTGCTTAAATGACCATTCAATATTGCAATTATTTAAAAACTATACAATGAGAATGCTGAAATATGTATATGATTCCACCACTCCAAACACCATGAATGTTTTAAAAGATGTATTTTTTAAGAAAAAATGATTTTACATAAATATTAATTCATGAAAAACAAAAATCATACAGGACCAGAGCTCAGAGAATAAAAATGGAAGGCACTTACTGTTTAAACCCAAATGGTCAGTAAAAGAGACAGGTACCAGCTACTGGAAAAAAAACAAAACAAAACAAAAAAAACCACGAAAATATAAAGACCAATGACACTGAAGAAACTCCATCAACTAATGTGCAAAATAACCAGCTAGCATCACGATGACAAGATCAAATTCACACATAAAAATATTAACCTTAGGCAGGGCATGGTGGCTCACACCTGTAATCATAGCACTTTGGGAGGCTGAGTCCAGCAGATCATGAGGTCAGGAGTTCAAGATCAGCCTGGCCAGCATGGTGAAACCCTATCGCTACTAAAAAAACACAAAAAATTAGCCAGGCATGGTGGTGCACGCCTGTAATCCCAGTTACTCAGGAGGCTGAGGCAGGAGAATTGCTTGAACCTAGGAGGCAGAGGTTGCAGTGAGCCAAGATCCGGCCACCGCACTCCAGCCTGGGCGACAGCGCGAGCCCCCGTTCAAAAAAAAAAAAAAAAAAGAAAAATAATGTTATCACTTTGGTCTCATTTGATCATTTGAGTATGAAGGATCAGACAGTGAAAATAAAAGTACCAAGAAAAATAAACAAAGGTCTTGTAATAAAAAAGAAAAAAAAAGCAACACAGAATGACCAAAGCTGTCCTCAGCAATAAAAAGAAAAAAGCTGGAGTCATCACATTACTGTGTCCGGAACTGGTGGGTTCTGGGTCTCGCTGACTTCAGGAATGAAGCCACGGACCCTCACGGTGAGGGTTACAGTTCTTAAAGATGGTGTGTCCGGAGTTTGTTCCTTCAGACCTTCAGACGTGTCAGCAGTTTCTTCCTTCTGGGGGGTTCCTGGTCTCGCTGCCAGGAGTGAAGCTGCGGACCTGCCTGGTGAGCGTTACAGCTTCTTACAGGCAGCGCGTCCGGAGTTGTTCACTCTTCCCGGTGGGTTCGTGGTCTCGCTGGCTGCAGGAGGAAGCTGCAGACCTTCACGGTGAGTGTTACAGCTCGTAAAGGCAGCGTGGACCCAAAGAGTGAGCAGCTGTGAGATTCATTGCAAAGAACAAAAGAACAAAGCTCCCACCGTGTGGACGGGCACTGGAGAGCGGTTGCCCTAGCTGCCTGGGGCAGCCTGCTTTTATTCCCCTATCTGACCCCACCCACATCCTGCTGATTGGGCCATCTTACAGAGAGCTGATTGGTCCGTTTTGACAGAGTGCTGATTGGTGCGTTTACAATCCTTGAGCTGGGACACTGCTAGACATAAAAGTTCTCCAAGTCCCCGCTAGGTTAGCTAGACACAGGGTTAGCTGGATACAGAGTACCCATTGGTGTATTTACAAACCTTAGACACAGAGTGCTGATTGGTGTATTTAGGATCCTCTAGCTAGACATAAAAATTCTCCAAGTTCCCACCAGATTAGCTAGATACAGAGTGCTGACTGGTGCACATACAATCCTCCGGCTAGATATAAAAGTTCTCCAAGTCCCCATCCGGCTCAGGAGGGGGTTCACCTAGTGGATCCTGCACCCGGGCTGCAGGCGGAGCTGCCTGCCAGTCCCTAGCTGCGCCTGCACTCTTCAGCCCTTGGGCGGTAGCTGGGACCGGGCTCCACGGAGCAGGGGGCAGCGCCCATCGGGGAGGCTCTGCCCAGGAGGGAGCCCACGGCAGCGTGGGAGCTCAGACATGGCGGGCTGCAGGTCCCAAGACTTGCCCTGCATGGAGACGGCTGAGGCTGGGCGAGAATTCGAGCACAGTGCCGGGGGGCCAGCACTGCTGGGGGACCGGGTGTACCCTCTGCGTCTGCTGGCCTAGGTGCTAAGCCCCTCACTGCTCTGGGCTGGCAGTGCCGGCCAGGCTCCAAGTGCGGGGCCCACCGAGACCGCTTCAAGCAGCTGGCAGCCCCGGTTCCCACCCGCGCTTCTCCCGCAAGCAGAGGGAGGTGGCTCCAGCCTCAGCCAGCCCAGAGAGGGGCTCCCACGGTGCCGTGGGGGGCTGAAGGGCTCCTCAAGCGCCGCCAGAGTGGACACCTAGGCCGAGGAGGTGCTGAGAGTGAGGGCTGCTAGCACATTGTCACCTCTCATTACTAGACTTCAAAATGTATTATAGTTACCAAAACAGCCTCGTATTGGCATAAAAACAGACACATGGAGCAATAGAACAGAATGGAGAACCTAGAAATAGATTCATTTATTTACAGCCAACTGATTTTTGACAAAGGTGCCAAGAACATGCACTGGGAAAAGGAGAGTTTCTTGGATAAATGTCCTGGAACAGTGATCAGCAGCTGGGGCTGGTACC